ATAGCTGTATTAATAGTGCACCCTCTTGGTTTGCAAAGTGTACTGTCAACAGCTTTTGATATCAAAAAGGGGGGAGGTGGGAGATAGATTTTGCCTAATGCCACTTTCCAAGTCAAGGTTCCTCACCTAGAGTATAGCCCCTCCTGACCATAGGGCTGTAGCACATATTGATGGATGAGTTTGTCCCGAAGGGTACCCACCAACTTGATTTTCTTCCGGGACCTATGCAAGTTGATGATATACAGCGTGATCGAACCACGAACATAACTGTGGCTGCAAGAGAGACAGATCATCTAAGGGTAAGTAATGCACATATTTCTGAAGAAATGCCAGTGGTGGGTCAGGTCCAGACACTGAATACTTGTTTAAGAGCTCTGCAGTTCCCAAGACAAGTGATGGCTGAATACTTAACAGTTTTCAGAACTTAGAGAAATCAGTTTCTTTGACTCCCTCTCACATAATCTCCCTGCCAACATGGCCACTGACCATCTAGGCTGGAAGATTCTGGAGCTGTAGTTCAAAAACATTAACTTTTCCACAATCTGAAACGTTAAGCACAGCCTTCTGGTTCAGGTACAACTTGCAGCTGGCCCTGAGAAGTGCTACCTGTGACAAGCCTTTTCAAGGCATCCTGAGAATGCTGGGTCTAGGATTTCCCTGCACACAGTCTGGCAGAGATCTTTAAACTTTATGACCAGAATCCTTCTGGTGTTTGTGTAATTTGCCAAATTTAATTATGACTAACTGATGAGGTGCCAGGGTGCCCCTTAGTTGAATAACAGCATATGATTAGACACATGACCAAGAAATATATTGGCACCTCATCAATTAGCTGCAATCAGTGATGGTGAGTTACACAGTCTTACACAAACACCCAGTTAAGATTCTGACCTATTAATAATGCTTGGAGAAATAATGTCGATACACTTCCAAGTAACTCATGTTATGTCAATAACCCTTATAAAATTCCTGTGAGAGACTTAAGCAGAAAACCCGTACAAGTAAAGCTTATTCTCTACTTGGGAAAAGTCTCTCCTCCAATTGCCCTGGGCATGGGATGGAGCCAGTGGCTGCCCACCTGTCCTCCTCCACCTGTACCTATCCCAATTGCCAGATACCTGTCAGTCATTGGGCAGAGTTCCCTCCAGGAGGGGGAGACTTGCTGAAAGCATCTGGGCAGGGTGAGGAAACAACAATAGGGACCTGTGTGTGCAGGGAAGCCCTACTCCCAGCACTTTCAGGATGCTTTGAAAAGGCTTATCACAGAAATTCTAGCTAGACTCAGTGCCCCAGGTGGTGCTGCGGGTGGGGTGGGGTGGGGGGCAGCAGGGAGAGAAGCAACTGAAACCAGACCCCAGGGCCTTTGGGTATCTCTTGATCTCATCCTGAGAGGAGATGTGCCGCAAAAGCTCCTGCCCCAGCTCCAGAGATAGCTGCTCTTCCCTATCATCACCAGAGCCACCCTCACCTGAGCAAGTAAGGATGCAAAATTGCACATACTGGGGGTGGGGAGAAGGAAGGAAAAGGAAAATAGGCCCTCATTTTGCTGACAGCAAAAACCATCTCCACCCCTGCAGCATATGGGGAGAACGATAAGGCAGAGGCAAAGTAATGTCCTCTTTACACCTGCTTGGATATTGCAAGGGTCAGCAATCACTGAATCTCAAGCATTGGCAGGGAGCGAGACAGCAGGATCAGAGCTTGGAAAATTTACTTTCCTGGATTTTAACTCCCAGAATTCCCCAACCAGCATGTTGTGGGGGGGGGCACTGGGTTTTTTAAAGAAGTTAACCTACAAACTCTGCATAGGGTGCTGAGAGGGGTACAACGTGGACGTAGCCCTTTAGTAGATGAAGTCTTCATCTCAAGTGTGTGGTCAGTGCTAAGTAAAACATCCTGAGTCCTCTGGAGTTCCAGAGCCCCACCTCTGCACAAGCACTTGTGCCTTTTTTTCACTGGAGAACTCACTTGTGGTGGCTGGTGCAGTGAGCATAGATTCGCAGCTTATCACGGATCACCCGGCCGGGACGAGGTTTCCTCTGCAGCCCAGCCACATGAACAGCAAGTACCCTGGGTCCCACGAGTTGCTTGTAAAGCAGAGAGAGCCAATAATCCTACCAAAGGGAGGGAGGGATGGGGTAGGGTGGAAGAAGGAAAATAAAAGAGAGAAGAAAATAGACAGGTTACAGGTAAGGTAGACTTCCTGGAAAGGCCCAGACAACTGCAAACATGTGTGCAAAATTAGGTACAAAATATTAGCAAGAGAGGGCGTTCCCCCCCCCCAAGAAAATACCAGACAGAAACCACACTGAATTCTGAGAGCTGCGGTCTAAAACAGTAAGCTTCCTGAGCTTGCAAAAGTTATTTCTCTAGAAAACAACTCCCAGAATTCATCAGTATGACCCGTGACTTTCCTGGTTGGGGAACTGTAGGAGTTGTTGCCCAAATAATCATAATCTTTTGCAAGCTCTGCTTTTAACAGCCTTGCCAAGGGAAGTATGCTCGAAATATTCCATTCTGTGTGTGAAAGAATCGGTATCTGTTGAAGCTTTCCTTTTCATGACTGTCCCATATTGGTCTGGAATGGATGGTTGTCTTATTAGCATGGCTCAGTTATGGCACTGGAAGGACTTTTGTGAGGTAACCCTGGTGGTCCCTTACACAGGTGTGCTTCTAGGCAGAAGGTATTGCAAATTGCATAGAAGGTCATACAATCCTATTAAGCAGAAGTGCTTTTCTCCTGGCAGAACCATTACAGGATATAGTCTCAGGGGGCCAGTGCAATTTTACAACCAGACCAGGGCTGTGAAATTGTGCACTAACCACATGGTGAAGAAATGCTGCTGTAACCTGGTAAGTAGCGACAGCATAATAGCCCCTTCACTCCCAGCCCTCTGAGAGCTGTTACTGGCAAACACAGAAGGAACATAAAATGTCACTTGTGGTTCTGTTCTCCACACTTCACATCCTGTTCCTTCCAGAGAGGCACATGTTCACGCCTGCAAATGAAAGGCAGTCCAAAATTATGAGTGCCATCAGCCACAAGTATGTGAACAACACATGCATACTTAGGATGCATGTATGAGGCAAGCAGTGTATTTATGTGTAGCCCTTGCCAAGGTGTGTACACAAGTTTGTACTCCATTAAAGAATTCATAAGCTGGAACAAAATCCAGAATTATAAGAGCCTTGAAGAGAAAGGCAAGGGAAATTTGTGCAGAACAAAACCACTTTTACCTGTTCCCCAGGATGTTGAAAGGACAGAGCCTGCTAGAAGGAAAGTTCAATAATTTGTTACAGCCAGAATTATATCAGGCCAAAAAATTAAAATTAAAGAAGACAAAAGCATTGTGCACCACTATATTTTAATGGGAGTTTTCATGCACAACTACACTGCCTCTGTATTTTTTATTTTGTTTTGCTCTGATATGCTAGCACAGACTAACATGCACACCTCTCCTAAAACCAGAATTATGTTACCCTTGGCTTTACTGGTAAGAAAAGCAGAATGACAGCATATTTTTTGCACTAACTGTGCATGCTGAATATTTGGACACTGAGTATTGTTCTGGTCATTGTTCCTCCATATGGATCCCTTTTCCATGTGAAGGAACAATCGCATTTGTTGCAAATGAAGTCTGGTTTCAATGCAGTTCCTACAGGATAACAGTATCACCACGGGGTAACCCCACATCAAAACATATTCAGCGAGGAACTGATGACTTCTGTGAAGAGGGCTGAGAAACACCTATGTCAGATGCATTGGAGAGCCACAGACACTCAGCAACACCAACACATGGACCAATAGTTCAACTTTGAAGAAGCTAGCTTGCTATGTTTGTATGCTTCTTAACTCTAGGAACTATGAGCAGGAAACAGAAACCAAGGAGACATCCATTTTCTTTTGGACATACAGGGGCTTGTCTGCAAGTGCTCATTGGAGCGGGCCAGTGTAGGCTACTTAGGGTTGCCTAAAGTTGGCTAGAGGTCCAGCATGCCACTTGGTGCATCTCCAGCTCCTTCCTCTGTCAACTTCTCATATTGTGAAGGGGCTTAAGAAGATAGCCACTTAACAATACTGACAAATTAAACACTTCCTCTGCTCCATGGAGGGGCAGAGGAAGTAAAACAAATGTTTAGCATTGCATTAGGGCAGCACTAATGTACTGCATGAATTATTTTAAAAAAATTTAAAAATTTAAAACTTCCTGGGAGCTGGAAGAGACAGGAGATTGCAACGAGGGAATTTTTTTTCTTTGTGGCCTTTTTTTTTTAAAAAAAGAATGGGTCAGGTACCTGCCCACAGATTAGTCTACCACTGGTCAGTAGTTAGTTCATCAATTACATTGTGTGATAATTAGAAAAAGGAGCGAACCAGCATATCCCCACAGAGGACGAAAGTGAAAGATAAATGCCCATCTGATTGCAATCTAAGTAAAGAAATTTGGTTATAGCTTCTTAAATAAGGACTTGAGCTATATATATTTTGGTGGAGAAAAAGACAAGTGCATGACATTGGAGTTCAGGACTTGTGATGGCCTGTGATGCTGGTTGCAAACAAACAAACAAAAACACCCCCTCCTCTTTGACAGTTAAGCATTGCCCAATAAGGTCTAGAGAAGGCTTTGTCTTTCACAAGTAATTCTAGCTGTCTAGATGAGTGCACAGGAGCCCATGCCTTTCCTCGCCCTTCTAAATCTGAATTTGTGGACAAAACATGTTCAACAGGGAAGCTTTTTCTGTTGCTAGAACTCCTTGTAGGCAACTTCTGTCTTGTACCCCAGTGTTGCCTAGTAATAAGACAGGTCATTATTGGTCCTGTGCAAAAAACTGTGATGGGGAGCAAGGGTGAGCACAAAGGAAATGAGCTATGCATAATGTCCCGCTTCAGATCCTCTGCAGCCACTCTACCCAGTTTAGGTATGTTCTGGAAACTGGCGAGTGGAAGATGTGCCTTAGCTACATGCCACTTAATCCAAAACTGTGGTGACCAGCATAGGATTGCACCAGAGATGGTGGGAATGAGATCCTGGCTTCTGTGGTCCACTGGGCAACAAATCTGTGGTGACCAGCATAGGATTGCACCAGAAGGAGACCAAGCATTGCTGGGAGATGGTGGGAATGGGATCCTGGCTGCTGTGGTCCACTGGGCAACTTTTGCCGCCCCGAGTAGACATGGTCTAGAAGGGCGGGGTAAAAAATCAAATCAAATTAATAAATGCTGAGCCTCTTTGGCCCAAAGTATAACCAGTGGAATGAATGAGCTGTATCTTGTCATCACCAATATTTGACAGAGTCCAGACCTTGGGGGAGGATAGCAACTGAGCCTAATCCCACCAACAGTCAAGGGCTTGCTGTAACAAGGCATTTTCACTTCATTTTATATATAACCAGGGATCAGGGAGGGGTGTGCATGAAAGTCTTTGTGGTTCAATATGCAGGTGCAATGGGTGTAGCAGAGCCAGCACCTTACCATGAAGATTTACAACCACAGTACCTTGTGTTTCTAAGGTAGCTGCAACTCCAGGACACAAAGTCAACAGGTTCAAATGAATCAACTTGGAAAAGTTACTTTTTGAATGACAATGCAAAGTATCCACCAGTCAACATGGCCATGGGCCATAGCACTGTGACAGCGATCATCCAAAAAATAGTATTTTTCTAATCTCTGCAGATCACTCAGCTGTTTGTTCCTTTAACACAGAGAGTACAGATGTGTGGCTTTTTTCACTTTGTAGGGCCAGAGAAAGCTCTGTTTCCCCTCACACTGCAGGCTGTATGGGTGGTATTTGAAAAACCCTGATTTTTATATTTGAGCTTCAATAGCAGCAGGTTGGAAAGAGGCTCACATCGGCAGGCCAACTTTATCCCCTAGATCTCCAAGCTACTTCAGAAGAACCCAGTGAATTTGGGGCTAAATCTTTTATTCCAGTTGTGTCTCATTTGCCAAGGCACAGAGAGCAAAGGAACTGAGCTCTTGCAGGGCACCCAGCCCAACCTCGTCGCCAGCTGATGGGCAGCCAGGCCGAGCTAGTGATTGATGCCGTGGCTTCTCTCAGCGTCTGAGAGTTTGCACAAAGGAAAGACAGCATGTGGAAAAGTCTTTGTCACTAAGTTAGTGGGAGGATTTGGTTTCACATCCCAGCAGTCCTGCACAGGCCTGAGCAGCCGCTTTCATCTCACTGATAGCTCCCACGGGAAAACAGCGGACGCCACACCTCAGCCCAGGTTCACAGTCTGGCCTCACTGAGCCTTACGGTTAATGCCACTTAAAAACCCTCTAGCAACTTACCTGCTCTGGACAGAGGGAAAGATACTGGCTAAAGAGGAGCAGGAGTTTGAGAAAAAGAAAATTGAAAGACAGACATTGAGCTCCCAAGTGCAATGTCCTGTGAATAGAAAGCACTGACAATGTAGCTTTCTTCTACATTAGGACAATTACTTTGAAATGTTTGAATATATCCTCTGCAACCTTGGGGGACAGACTGTGGCTCCATGATGAAGCACATGCCTCGCTTGCAGAAAGCCCCAGGTTTAATCTCTAATATTTCCACACAGAGCTAAGAAAAGATTCCTGTCTGAAACCATGGAGAGCTGCTGTTGCTCAGTACCACTGATGTTAGACAGGATGGAACAATGGTCTCTGGGGCATCATAAGGTAGCTTCTACCTGACTGAAGAGGCTTGCCCTTTTCTGGGACACAAATACTCTCAGACTTTCTGGTCTGAGAGTATGTGTGTCACTAACACCCATAACTTTTCTAACTCAGTGAGTTAGAAAAGTACTTATATCTCAGTGTAGTGGCCGAAGATGTAGTTTTGCGTTTGGGACCATGTAATGCAGGTTCTTCTACACAACCCCCTTCAGAGTTCTCTACCATGTATTCTCTTTTTGCCCTGTGCTTCCTAAGCAGATATTTCTTTGCTTTTCTGCACCTAGACCTCATAAAGAAGTGTCAAGAAGCTCCTTTCCCTCAGCTACAACTAGATTTGGAGTTGAAATGGATTTGTACCAGGAGCTCACGCCTATATGAACATTTTGTACTAGGCCATCACTCACAGAACGATCTGGATAGATGCAATCTGAAAGGGGGCTTGGATATCTCTAATATATTTTCCTCATGCCTAAGAGCAAAGGAGCCAGAACGAAGAGCTGATCACTTGGAAGAGAACTATAGAAGTCCCCAATCTCCCAGAAACTAACTTCACAGGAATGCAAAATCTACAGCTCATTAGAGGCTGGGCTCAACTTTTGCCGCTGCCCCTCTGCTTCCCAGATCCTCATCCTGCATTCCAGGAGCTTGCTGGCAGTATCTCCCAGATTGGTACCCTGGAAGAGGCTTGTAAATTCCTGGCTGGCGATATCCAGAGCTTCTTGGTGCTGCCAACAGTTCTACTTGCAAGGTGAACAATTTATTAGACTAAAAAAAGATGAAAAGAAACCCTGCCACTTTTAAAGACCTTTTACATACGGTTTCCTTATTAGAGCCCTATGCATTTGGAACAGCAACCAGTTCAGCCCTTTTGAAGAGTTACAAATGAGCAGGTTTGTATTAAATTGGAGGGAACTGCCCTGCTGTGTGAAGTTGTGAACGCCTTCATTCCTATAAATCTAACATTTGTTCTGCCCTATTTTCCTGGCTCTTTTGTCTTTCCCCAAGGAGCTGGCTACTTTGCCTTTAGTTGTTTGCAGACCATGTCTTCAGGACTCTAGGGCTGCTCTCCTCTCTCCCTTCCTCCTGTGCTGTCGTGTGTGTGCCCCAAAGGAATGCCTGATTCTTTTACTCTTGTGTACCCCACACGGGTCCCATGGAGACTCTCAGAGTGGACCATGTCCTAGATCCAGAGGTAACCCTGCCCCATCTGCTTTCAACATGTTGTGCTTGACATTAAATAATGTCTCCTATTAGCACTAAAAGGAACCAGTCTGGAAAAATGTATTTTCAAGCAGAGTTCAAACAGGCCACAAGGAGCAGAGGATTTTCAGCTGCACATAGAATTTTTTTACTTATTTATTTCCTTTCCTTTTGGTTACACCCCCCTCCCTTTCCTTTTCTTTCTTTTTTATGACCCAGGCAAGAGTTTGAGCAACAGGTCGGGGACACAGGAGTCAAGCACAAATCCCCTGATTTACTGACTTGCAGCAGGAAAGGGAGAAAGGGAAAAAGTGGGCTGATAAAATGGAGACAATATGAAGATGGTGCAGGAAAGAACCAGGGAATGAGTAGGGGTGGGGAAAGGAGAAAGTGTAGTTTTTTGATGTTGCACACCTAGTAACCTTAAAAGGAATGGTTGGTCTCATTGGCTGAAATGGCAGAAATAATGAGAGGTAGTAGGAGATGAAGCAGAGCTTGGAAATTTCTTTATTAGCTGATAGCTCCCAGAATCCACCAGCCAGCACAGACACTAACTCTAGGGTGAGCAGCTATGCGAATACAAGAATAGGGCACTGTTTCATGCTTCACTATTTTCCAAAAGAGAAAGAAATTGCTAGCTTAAACAAACAAATGCAAAGAAATCAGGCATGGGGGTATTTGTATGGGTCATAAACAGAAAAAGAGAAAGGGGGCTACATGAGACACTGCAAACCTAAAACGACGGGGCAGGAATTCAAACAGACTTGAAGGGCAGAAACCACATGAGAGCAAACTGTTCAAAGGGCAAGTTAGAAGACACAGAGCACAACGTTATATACCTACCGGCAATGGGTTGAAGTTCTGGTCCACAAGATGGTTGTGTCCATGATCAAACAATGAGTGTCGCATGATCACATCAATGCCCTGGCTAGCCAGCATCCCAAGGGAATTTAGCCACCTGGCAAAGAAGAACAAAACTTCTCAGCATTTTTACACAAAGTAGTCATCTGTGGGTTCTCTCAAAGTTTCTCCTGCCAATCTGTCTCAGTCCCCCAGATTTTTGTATTTCAAAGCATCTGGTGCCATCCAGATGCTTTGGACTACCGTTCTCATGAGCCTTTGCCAAGGTATTCATTGGTCAAGAGTTACATATAAGATAGTCAGGGGGGAAAATACATTCAGATGACACCAGCATTAAAGACAAGGCAGAGGCCTTTATATTCTTTTCCTCATTCAAATTACAGTTCTACCCATCCTTTCTTTAAGTTGTTTAGGGCAGCACACATGGCTGCATCCCTATTCATCCTCATAATGCCCCATGAGATAGGTCAGGCTGAGAGCCAGTGACTGACGGGAAGAACCACACTGAAAGTAGCAGTTGCTTTTACAGAAACAGTTTAGCATGTTCACTTTTCACAGAAGATCAAAATGACATTACAGTCAACCAGTTGCAATCCACTGTTCTATGCTAATCACCCATCATTTTGCAGATGTCTTTCATGGCAATAAAAAAATAACAAAAGGCTAAGCCAGTATCTAATATGGGCTGACAAAACAATGCTCAAGATTTTCAGGACTACTGTGCCTTTCATTAAAAGCTTTCTTCTGGAGGTTCTTACTCCTTTATTGCTCTTTGTCGATTAGAGCCAATACATTTCCCTGCAATTATTCCTTAAAAGTCTTAGTTCTTGGTCTCCAGGGACCACTAACTGTTGATTACTTATTGCTTTCCCTTTGATTTGTTGATCTTGCTGTTTAATTATAAAATAACACTATTTTGCAATTAAAAATAAAAAAGGAAGGAAAACAGAAACATATAAACAAAGATTAATTAAATAAGGAGATATTTGCCAATAATAATATTGCCTCACTGAACAAGAAATAATTTTAGGCAGAAACCATAAAGAAACAACCTTCCACTCTTTTCTAGTGAAAAAAGGTTGGTCAGGAGAATTGTCAGTGTTAGATATTTTCAATTTTCTTTTTTGTGGGAAAAAAGATGGGGAGGGGAGAAGGGCTGTCTGCCAAGGGTGCCAAGAATGTACTCGAACAGGCAGGGGGTCATAGCAGTTAAATTCAATGTCTCAACAGCACTGACAGTGTCTCTTGTGGAACCAATTTTTGAAACTAAAATTTCCCTGTTGAACCGCATAGACTAAAGTTATATATAGTCTGTATTCATAGATTAGCATTGGATAAATGAGACAAAAGGAGTCTTTCATCTTTCAGAATTAAGTCTTGAAGAACTAGCCTAAAACAAAGTAAATGAATGTGTTAATCCTAGGCTGTGAGAGAAACTCCTGTTGTGACACTCACACACAATCAGGCCTCAGGGATTTTCCTCTTGTACTCATCAGCTACCTATAATGTCTATTTCTGCTCCACCTTATATGTCATCAATATATGAATTTCTGTCAAAGTATACACTTTTAAACATACATTTATATACTTAAACTTTGAAATACTGCTGCAAGATTAAGAGAAGTGCAACATTCAATGAACAATTAAGTTCTGATATACTTAATGATCTGGATCAAGTCAGTTCATCTCAGAATTAATGATGATAAAACTCAAGTATCTTCATAAAGTTCTACACTCCACTCTGGGCTTATCCAGAAGGGCAAAAGTTCTACAGTAAGTAATCATGATGGGTCACAGTTCCGCCTGGGAGGGACAAGGGTTATCAGAATTTGCATTTTCAGAGAAGTGCATGGCTTAGAAAACAATTTTACTAAGAAAGAAATCCTAATAAAGCATTACATATCCACTTCCTCACTGCACCTTTGCTCTTGGATTTCCCCCTCAATTTATTTTCAAAGTTAATTAATGAAGTATTTAAAGATTTCCAGTCTGGGAACCCCTGACTCCCAAAAATGAGTTCTCCGCAGGAAGTGGTTCAATACTAAGCTCTGCCCCCCTCCTCAGAAAAATAATGCAATATTCCCAGGAAAATCAGAGAAGCATAGAAGGTGGAGTAACTGAGCCTTGTACTGTCTGGTCAGCAGGAAAACTTCTCAAAAGTAACAGTACTGAACTGACTACATTTGCTTGTGTCTGCTCAAGCTTTCAGTTTTTTTATCCTGCATGCTCTCTGAGAAATCTCCATGCCTTGGTGGAAATACAAGTATTTTGCAAGAGTTGGATGTTAATGTGATATACTGTTGTGAAAATATCTGGTGAAACTACCTTTGGGAACAAGGTTACAGCTACACATTTTCCTCCATCCATTAAAGGCTGTACTGGAATTATTACACACACAGTTATATAGATCCCAGCTGATACCTTCTGTGATAGCCAAAAACCTAATTCCATTGCTGTTTGTGATAGTTCCTAAGATTAGATAGAGGCAAAAATGGTTGCAGAGGGATCACATGCAAAAAGATAATTCCATTTTAGAAATCCTTTTAAAAATGCATTTACTTATTTTAGCTGTAAAGCTGTAATCTTATTTACACATTTGCTTGGAGAGTAAAACACAGTGATTTTGACATAAGTCATACTGACTTACATCTGAGAAGGCATGCATTCAAACTGAGCTGCATGGGAAAAACAGAGAAGGCAAGAATTTCCATATAAAGGCAGTTGGATGATGTGCAACAAGAGCCATTTTGGAATGGCCTCATCAAAATCATAGAATGCACACTGCCATTATCAAGGCTGCTCCACACTTAGAACAAACATTGGGGCTCTGTATATTTCCAGTGAAGATCAGTCACGTTCCTGAAGGCCTGAAAAAAGCCCTCCCTATAGGAGACTCCAGAACATATTTTTAATATGCTTTGAAGTATTCAAATGCCATTCAAACGCCAATGACAAGACATGGTCAAGAGGATCAACCATGGATCTGCAAGGAGCTGTTGTTTCTTGTACTGTGTGAGGTAGCATTCAGTATATAACAAAGAGACGGCACCTGCAGGACTGACAAATCTATTTTAGCATACAGTTTCATGGTTGGAAGTTAACTAAATTCATTTGATGATGTGGAATTCATCCACAGATGTTTGTGTGTTTGTAGACCTTCAAGGCATCCAGGGATTCTGGATAGTAACACAGTTATCCTCCAGACAGTACTGCTGCCTTTAGCTTAGCAATAATTTGAAATATATCTTCATTACTATATTTGTTATTGTGTGGCCTCTTCATGATCAAACAAAAACATTCTCTGTATAATGCACATCATTGAACAAATGTTTCTGTTTCAGTTTCTGAACCTGATGTGTTGCAGTGTGGGCCTTTCAAGTATCACATTATAAATTCTGAAGCATACAATTAGGAGATAATAATCACAAACACCTTGAAAGACCTTAAAATATGTTGAAAGAAAAGTAATAGTTTAAAAGGTATGAACTAATCTTAACTGGATTAAATGAATTTTAATTATTAAAAATAATTTAGAATGTTAAATGTTTTATATGAATGTTAAATATTTGTATATTTACAAATATAAAAATTGCTATTTGCAATCCAATATTCATTTTAAAAACAGTCATTACACTTCTCACACTCACTGTGGCAAGTGTCACACTACCAACTGAAGGGGGTGAATAGCAACAGCTTTCCTTTTGAACTGTAAAGGCAGGTGACGAGAAAGCTTGGAACAATTAACTTTTGGGGACTCTTGACTCCTTGAATCTCCCATCCAGTATAGCCATTGGTCACTGGGAGTTCCAGCTCAAAAAGTAACTTGCTAAACTCTAGGTGAGAAAGACTTCTGTCCTTGTCCAGCTGCAAAGTCAGGAGGGAATTGGAAGGTGGTATAGCCGAAGTCCTCAAGAGCACCTTGGCTATAAGAACAACAAACAACAAACTGGGAAGCTACAGCCCAGTGGCATGACCAATCTTCCTCCCCCTCTTTCCCACTAGAAAGGCAGGTAGAGGGAGAGAGGCTTCTTCCCCTGCTGTTTAGCAGAGGAGCTTGGAGACCCTCTGACAAGTGGTGGATAAAGCTGTGGTGCTCTCAATCTCCCTCTTCTGCAAGCAATGACGGGGTGGGTGGGTGTGCCAGCCACTGTGTGATGGCAGCAGGCTGCAGTTCCCACTGCTGAAGAGCAGCTGAAGCACATGTGCTCTCTAACTCTATTCTGCTGGAAAGAGAAAGGTGGATGCAGTGCTGCCCCAAGGCATTTTGCCACCTGAGGCAAAGGACAGAGAGGTCCCTCTTCCAGTTCATTTATAGAAGCCAACTGGACTGTAAGTCCAGCACTGGCAATGGGAGAGCATCCTCCATCTCCTGCAAAGACAGCAGATTGGTTTAGGGAGGGCAGTACCTGCTTTGTGTGCCACATATCACTCTGCTCCAATAGAAGCAAATGGCTGGGAAGCTTAGGAAGGTCAGCATTCCAGCATCTTCTGCACCTCACTTTACCTCATGGTGGGGCCAATTTTGTTGGATAATGTGCTTCTTTGACTGTTGCATGGCAGAGCTCTTCTGTCAGCCACTATCTAAAGATCACATGGTTGCTATCTCTCACACAGTAATAAGAAGCATGAAAGGAGACATTTTCCCATCACTGTTTGGCAGATAGGATAAGGCAGGGGTCGCCAAGCTTCTGAGTGTGAGGGCCACATTGTATATTTTCAATATCTTTGAGGGCCGAAGGAATGTGCATGTGGCCACACGCACATGCACACACACACACACACACACACACACACACACACACAAACACACACCCCACATGGGTGTGCATGTGGCCACACGCGCGCACACACACACACACACACCCCACATGGACGCCTGCTCATGTGCACACACACACATGCCCCCTGCATGATGCACCCCCACGTGCACACAGGCTGAAGGGTGTAGGCCGGTTAAAATGGCCCAGATGTGGCTCACGGGATGTAGTTTGGAGACCGCTGGATGACCACATGTTTTGACTCTGCTGGCAAGCCTAGCCAAAAATTGCTGTCTCTCTACTCACTAGTATATATAAACTAACTTGCTAAGGAAGGACA